CAGGACCCTGAGATCATGACCTGAGCTAAAGGTAGATGCTTAACCGACTGAGCCACCCAGGCACCCCAATTCACAACATTTTTAATTTTAGTGGAGTCCAACTATTTTTTTGTGTGTGTGTTTGCTTGTGCTCTTGGTATCATATCAAAGAAACTGTTATTTCATCCAAGGTCATCAAGATTTATTCTTACATTTCCTTCTAAAAGTTCTATAGTTTTAACTCTTACATTTATGTTGAGTTAATTTTCACATATGGTGTGAGGGAGGGGATCCAACTTCATTCTTTTGCATATGGATATCCAGTTGTGCCAGCACCATTTGTTGAAAAGACTATCCTTTCCCATCGAATGGCTTTGGCATCCTTATCAAAAATCAGTTGACTGTAGGGGCACCTGGATGGCTCAGTGGGTTAAGCGTCTGCCTTCAGCTCAGGTCATGATCCCAGGGTCCTGGGATCAAGTCCTTCATCGGGCTCCCTGTTTATCGGGGAGCCTGCTTCTCCCTCTGCCTGCCGCTCCCCCTGCTTGTGCTCACTCTCTCTCACTCTCTCTCTCTCTCTTTGTCAAATAAATAAATAAAATCTTTAAAAAAAATCAATTGACTGTAAATGTGAGGGTTTACTTCTGGACTCTAGACTCCATTGATCTGTATGTCTATCCTTATGCCCATACCGAAACCATCTTGATTACTTTAGTTTGTAGTAACCTGTGAACGTGGGAGGTGTTAGCCCCATAACTTTACTCTTCTTTTTCAAAATTATTTTGACCATTCTGGGTTCCTCGAATTTCGGTATGAATTTTAGGATCAGCTTGCCCATTTTCCTTCTCTTTCTTAGCCTTTTACTTCCTCACTACTCCCACATTTTTAACACCCTATATGGTAGTTCATGTTTCAGCTGCAAACCAAAAGTGGAGTCAGTGGTTGTGTGACCATGAGCAAGTTGCTTCACCTCTCTGTACCATGATATTATAATATCTACAGTACAGGGTCATTAGTGTAAAGATTAGATTAAATGCAGTAATATATTAAAGCTCACGGAAGAGCCTGTGGGTTGTTTAGTCATCTCACTGGCTTGTAAACAAGTTGTTGTATAAAAATAAGAATGGCCACCTTTTGGGGGGCACTTGATCTATGCTGGACTGGGAGCTAAGCACTTGACATGAATTATCATGTTCAATCCTCATAATAACCTATGAGATGAATATTGTTATTTCCCCTTTTATAGATGAGACAGGAACAGTAAGGCTGAGGAATTAAGTAACGTTGGTAATGCCATTGAAGAGCTGAGCAAAGATTTCCATCCTTGAAGGTGATACTCACATCCAGAGGGTGGTCCTCCTGGGCCATGGCTACTGGGTTTAGGGAGAGGCTTAAAAAGGTGGGTTCTGGACTGACTTCCAAGAAGTGGGTATTAGGAAACCTGCAGGTGCTTGTCACCCACAACCTGGAATGCACCAGGGGGCACCTCCCAGATTCTGCACCTCCCTCTCCTCCAGGCACTGCAAGTAGATCTAACAGGTGGAATGGAGCCAAATTTGCCTCTCCCGGCTCCCGCCCTAGTCCCTCATCATCCCTCCCATGGACAGCTTCAATAACCTCCAGCCAGCCTTCCTGCCCCAGTCCTTTCCTACCATGCCTACCAGTGGATCCAATCATGTCACTAGACCACAGATCTGACCTCTTTTAAACTCTGCACATCCAAAGCATGGGTGGCCCTGCTGCCCCCAGAATCAAGGCTGAGCTCCCAGTTGAGAGGCATTGCATGAACCTTGAGTTCAGACAGAACACAATTCAAATGCTGGCTCTACCCTTGCCTGACCTCTATGGCTCAGTTGCCTTGGGGATGAAGTGTGGATTCATGGGGAGGAGGGATCCGAAGCACTTAGCAACTTCATAGGTAAGCTGAGCCCTGCTCCTGTGCTGTCCTCCTGCCTTATCCATACCACCCTACCCTCACAACTGTCTACTCTTGCACTATTTGGGGCCGTCGGGGCCAACTTTCCCTTTCTGGGACATGTCTTCAAGTATTTGGAGTCATTTTTTGTCCAAGCTAATAGCCCATTTCTTCCAGTCCTTTCTCAATGGGATGTGTCTTGGAGTCAGTCCCCTCACGCCCTTGGCTATCATCCGTTGGCCCGCATCATGCAGCTTTGGGTTTGGTGCTACATCATTGTTCTTGGGGTGACTCACCCAGGAGAGGCAACCAGACAGCCTCCCTTGCTGCCATTCCACAAGGGCAGGACCATTGCTCCCTCCTCACCTCCAGGCACGGTTCTGCTTTCCTCTCCTGTCCCTCTCCTCCCAGCTGCCCACTTAGTCTCCAACTTCCTCTTCCCTCCTCTGCTGCCTGGATGCATGTTCAAGGGGAGAGGCCCTCAGAGGGCACGTTGGCCAGGTTTCTCAGGCTTCAGCTATTCCTGGGTCATCGTCACAATTTTTGCCCTATGTCCACACTATTGGTCCTGTTGACCTACTTTATTCTATTTTGTCAACTCATATTTTTTACTTTGGGAAAATCTGATATGTTCTATAAATATAACACCATAGAGGGTCACCATAATAAGGCATATTTAAATTAAAGTGAAATATGCCCGTTTTTGTATCACGTGGTCATGTGGCTGCCACACTCTGGGAAAACACAGATCCAGCCACATCCCACTTCTCAGATGGAGAAACTATGGTGGGCAAGGAGCAGAGTCTGGAGCCGGGGGGGTTCAGAGCACTTCACAGGGCCCCCCTTCTTTCTCCTCTTTCCTCTTCACCTCCTTTCCCCAAGTCTGCTCCGTCTGTACCTGCTGTGGCCTGGCCCTCCTCTTCCCCTCCCCTCTCCCCCTTTTCTTCTCCCTTCTCCCCTCCTCCTCCTTCTTTCTATTCCTTTTTTCTGTTCTGCTTTCCTCGAACCTCCTTCTCTTTTGCTTTCATTTGCTTTCACCCAAGACTGGGCACTTTTTTTGAAAGGCCTTGGGGGAAAAAATGGGGCATCTGGGTAGCTCAGTCAGTTAAGTGTCCAACTCTTTATTTCAGCTGAGGTCATGATCTCAGAGTCATGGGATAGTGCCCCATCTGGGGCTCTGAACTCAGCAGGGAGTCTGCTTGAGATTCTCTCCTTCTCCCTCTGCCCCTCCCCAACTCAGCATGCTCGTGCTCTGAAAGAAAGAAAGAAAGAAAGAAAGAAAGAAAGAAAGAAAGAAAGAAGAAAGAAAGAAAGAGAAAGAAAGAAAGAAAGAATGCCACTCACTCATGTTGCAACATGCAGACAGCACGAGCTTCCTGCCCTGTTCAGCCCTGTGCTTATTCTTCTCCCACATGCTGCTTCTGCCTGATGTCTTGCTGCTCCTGCCGCACTCCGTCCTAACACCCCTGAGTCAAAAAGTCCCCTCTGGATTGTTGAGAAGCAAATCTTCAAATGGATGTCATAAGATGGAATCATGGAAAGCCCCTGCGTGTATAAAGGGCATCTCATTTAATGTCCCCCATACTCTGCCAGGTGAAGATCATCACTGCTGGCTGCTGAGGGGAGCAGGATAAGTCACTCACCCATCTGAGCTTTAGTTTCTTCAGCTGAAAATGGGTAAAGTCACCTTATCTCCTTCCATTCATCCATTCATTCTTTTATTCACCAAGTCTTTGGGTGAAGGGCAGCAGAGGGAGAGGGAAAGAGAGAATCTCAAGCAGGCTCAGAGAATGGCTGGCCTGGCCCCCATCAGCAGACCTGCCTATTGACTCCCCCATGTATGTCCACACTGATCTCAGTCGTGCTGGGCAGAGACCATGTGGGAGTCCTTGGTCCAGAGGAGTGTGACTCAGAGTTGGTCCGTCATATATTCATTCTAAAAACACTGGCCACGCAATAGCTGACCTGCATGGGAATTGGTGGGCATTGAAATGGGACATCGATCTTGGTGTTCGTGGTCCCATGGGAGACACAGACACACAACTGGCTGTTATCCGGGTGATGTGTGACCGTATGCTCCTCCATCGGTGTGTGCCTGCATGTCCTGGATGGCCAGAGCAGGGAGGCCAGAGAAAGCAGAGGATTTATTCCCATGAGAAATGGAATGGGGAACATTGGAGGGAGGGGCTGGAAATGGAATGAGCAGTTGACAAAAGTCCAAATATGGGGTCCCAGTCTGAGACCTGGAATGGGGGACAGAGTGAAGTGGGTGCCATATTCCACTCTGTCTGCCAAGGTCACCTCGGTTCCTAAGAACAGCATTGTTCAATATGACCTACAAAGCCCTTCTGTGGCTACCAGTTTCTTGACTGTCCAAACCTCAGCACAGCCATCAATTCCAAGCGCATCCCCCAATTTCCTTCCAGCTGAGCTGGCCAGTTCCTTCAATGATCCCCCCCTCCCCACCTACACCCCTTGTCTCAGGCTGGGGTTCTCATAAGTGACCCTGAAAGGAGGAGTTGCAGGCAAGTGGTTCATTAGGCAGTGCCTCCAGGGGAGACCAACAGGGCAGAGGGGAAGCAGACCATGGAGGGAAGGGGGGTCAGCAGAGTCCTGCTGCACAGAAGGAAACTGGCTTGACCCAGTCGGGGTGTCAGGAAGCAGTGTAGGTCATGCTATATCTGGCGTCTGTATCCCTCCAGCAGACCTATGTCAAGGTCTGCCCCGAAGATGTAAATTTCTAGGTATTTCCCACTTTCATAGAGCCTGCCAGCTAGGTGGCTCCAGCAGCTTGGGCACTAGAAATGCAAGGTGACCAAAAGCTTCTGCATTTCACTTAGGCGAGGCAATCCTCTCCTCCCCCAGCTTTTGTTAGAGTATACCACATAACCCCTGACTCAGCTAGGCAACCACTTCTCCTTGGCAGAATTCATAGGCCTCGAGGACTTTCGAGGCCGTCTGGAATGTGTGGGGGGAGGCTCAATCAGAGCATGTTTCCTCCCAAATGCCCTTATAAAAGGCAGAGGGAGGTTGGGGGTGGTCTGAAAGGAACCTGGCCCTCTCCTCCCGCACCCCAGCTCTAGGTCCTGAACTGCTTCTCCAGCACATGGCAGGCCTTGCGACCCTTGGGGCTAGCCTCCTGCTCCTGAGCTTATGTGCCCACCGCATTGACCCTGCAGGTACGACCTCCAACTCAGCCCCGGGCTATCAGGCCGGGAGCACGGCTGGACGGCACAGCGGAGGGTGGAGGACCGACCAGGCTGGGTTTGGAGGGGAATGCTGAGGGGGCAGCTGTCTGGAGGTGTTAGTGTAGGGGAGGGGCTCCATCCCCGAAGCCCAGGCCTTGGACAGGCTGGGAAAGAACGTGGTTCTCCTCTCTCCCGACTAGGCTCTGTGCCCATCCCCTCTTCCTGCTGCATGTCCTTCATTTCCAAGCAAGTTCCCGAGAACCGAGTGGTTAGCTACCAGCTGTCCAGTGCGAGTGTGTGCCCTCTGGCAGGCGTGATGTGAGTATCTCCCTCTCCCTGGACACCCGGCAGGAGAGGGGCAGGGAGAGATGAGCCTCCACATATACTAGGCACTATCTGGGGACGTATACTATGATCGGAACTAACCCTCTGGACCATTTGGTGAGCTAGATAGGATTATTCCCATTTTACAGATAACAACTGAGGCCCAGAAAGGTGACCTGCTCAAGGTCACTGGGACTCCAGACAACTTCATAGCTGCCTCTCACACAAGACACCAAGTGTGAGCTTATTCTGTAACAGCAGCCTGCTGTAGAAATGTGACCTTGGTATCATGAGTAATTTCGCCCCCTGGCACCCCCTAGCTCAGAGCTGGCTTGGCACCGCCCCCTCCCTGCTCTGGCATCTTTATGAGTCACCTTTCCCCGCAAGACGTGTGAATTGGAGGTATCTGCGTTTTTTCCTGGGGGGTTTCAATGCATTTTCTCCTCTCCTCTCCTCCCTGTGGGTAGAGATTGTGTCTCCCTCTTCAGATCCAGCATTTTCTAAAGGCAGGGCCAGGCCTCCCCCACTGGACAGGGAGGTTGCTGGGGATGCACAGAGATGCAGACACACAGGGAGAGGAGACTCTGTGTCAGGACCTTGCTAGGAGGCCCCCCGGGCGGCAGCTTGCCCCTCTGCGGGACCCACACTCCCTGCTCGTCTGGGGAAGTGGTCTGAGGTCCCTGCCAGCTCTTGAGTGTGCCCTTGTCACCCTTCCCACAGCTTCACCACCAGGAAACGCCAGAAGTTCTGTGGCAACCCCAGGCAGCACTGGGTCCAGAAGTACATGAAGAAGCTGGATGCCAGGCGGAAGACGGCGTCCCCTGGGGTCAGGACAATGAGCACCAAAGCCCCAGTGCAGGGGTACCCTGCCAACACCACCTCCATCTAACTGCCCCCCCCGGCCCACCACTTGGAGCCCATGAGCCAGCGGTGAGAGGGGGAGAGTGAATGTTCCTGTTTCCTAACATCAGTCTATAAAACAAAACCCGAGGCAGGGGAGGCTGAGCAACCGCTCCAAGTGTCCTGGGCCCCTTGCCTTCCCTGAGCTGGAGGAGAAGATTCTGGAGGGAAGGGGGTAGGTTTTCTCTGCTTCCCAGGCTCCATCAGAACCCAGGGGCATGAGGCCCAACCTGCAGACACACTTGGCCGGCACCTAAAAACTTAGCCTGTAGCTGGCTTCTGTGGGTCTTCTGGGCTTGTGGGACCCTGCGGGCTGACTGTCTGTCTGTCTGGGTGCGGGCAACCTGTCGACAGCTGCAGCTCGTCATCACGTTGCCGATGCCCCCAGCTTGTCCCACTTGCAGAATCCTAGATGAATAAAAATCCGAGAAAATACAGGGCTCCTTTGCCGCAAGCGCCGCCAGATCCCAGCCTACCTTGCATGAGTCTCACGAGCTATACATAATGAAGTTTTTAGGGACTCATTGCCTTTTGTAATAAAACGGACCTGGAGGATCAGGATGAGGGGCCAGCCTGGGTACCTTAATTCCTTTGGGAAGATAGGGTTTGGAGGAGGTGGTCCGCTTTGTGGCATGCCCTGCTCCGTGCTGCTTTAGGGACAAAGACCTGCTATGCCTTTAAAGCTGGTCTTTCCCTACATTTGAGGATGGGAAGATGGAGTGGGGACTGTAGGGGGAGAGGGATTCCAGGGATTTTTTGGGTCTTTTTTTCCCCTATATATGAGATACCATGTGATGTAGATGTCAAGAGTGTGGAAACACTTGCTCTTCTCAATTAACGATCCAAGTAAAATGTGATTTCCCTTCGAAGGTGATTGTGTCTTCCTAGAGGGACAGGGTCAGAGTATGAACAATGGAGTGTGTGGCCCAGAGAGCATCCCGAGTTGCCATTGGAGGAGATAAAGGCAGTCTGAGCCCGGGGCATCCTAGGAGTGGTCTTGGCCCACTCTTGGGAGTCCTGTTGTGAACTTTGTAAAACATTCATGCACAGCTGGATTCAATTAAATTTTTAAAAAATTTTCAACCAAGCACATTATTCCACAAGGCTATTAAATGAAAAAGATGGTCTCTGGCTTCAGAGAATTAGGGAGAAAAATACACACACACACACTCACAAATCAAGAGCAATGTGGGTTTAGTACCAATCCTAGCTCGTGAGCCGCATGACATTGTCATATGTCACTTAAGTTCTCTGAGCCTCAGTTTCCCTCATCTGTAAAATGGGGACAATAAGCCCTTTCCACTTGGGGTTTTTCTGGAAGCAGACCCCAAAACGAAGATTTGAGTGCCAAGATTATGTGTGGGAGGTACAGGGAGTAACCTCAAGAGGATGGGGAGGTGATACAAGGCAAAGGAAGGTAGCCAGTAAGGGAGCATCATCGGGCAGAGAGCGATTAGAGCTGATGCCTCTGGAAAGTGGTGTAAGACCCACTTCCACAGAATCACAGCCCCGCTCCATGGGTCATTGCCAGCTGTGGGGAGGGGCGCACGTTCTGCAGCCTTCCATGGCTGCAAATAAGCCTTCAGACAATCTGCAGAGCCCACAGAAGGCGTGGCCGGAGACATTCAGTATGCAGCTGCTCTAGAGGTTTGAAGCAGAATAGAGTAGTGCTAGCAGTTCAAAGGAGGGGAGGTTCTGGTGTGTATTGAGGGGAGCCTGCAGAAATCTTAGCACAGAGTTGGCATCTGAATGGTGACTGAGATTTCACTCTGGCAAGAAGAGCTTATCTGTAGGGATGGACGAGAGCTGGAGCATGCAGGGATGAGAGACTGAAATGCAAATGGACAATGGCCAGACTATAGATGACAATAGAACCCTGACCCACGGTCCTGGCAGCAACTAGCCAGAACCATCACGACTTGGTCGGAGACTGCCAGCTTCCTATTTTTCCCCCCTTTTCCAACTCAGGACCAACCAGAGAGAGTTAACTATATTCCCAAATCAAACACACAAGATGCTTGTTTCTCCATGCCAAGCACCTCCAACAGAAGCACACCTGTGCCTTCCCTTTTATCCACTCTGGGGCTCCCGCAATCCCCGGCCTATCTGTGAGTCTCTGCCAAACACAAATGAGAGTGGCTGCCCCTCTTGCCGTAGCAAGCTCTGAATGAAAAACGTGTTTGTCTTCATCTGGGTGGTCCTTGTTTCTTTCCACAAGGAAGTTGTATAGGCTGGCCTCACTTTGCACATCTGTAAAATGGGCATAATAGAAGGGTTTCGCTCACGGTTGATTGTGAGGACTCAGTAAGGCGTGAATGCGTGGGAAGCACTTAGCTCAATGCCTGGCACATAGTAGAGGCTCAATAAATATTAACTAGGGGGCATGGCCAAGCCCAGCTGCGAGGCAGAGAAGCTGAAGCTGGTCTTGTTGGGGCCAGGGCATCTGGCTGACACTTTTTTTAAAACTGAAGCTTAAGTGACATTCAATATTCTGTACATCATAGTGATCTGATATGTTTATACATTTCGATATGGTCCCCACAATAAGTCTAGTTACTATCTGTCACCATACAAAGTCATTACAATATTTTTGACTATATTCCCCATGCTGTACGTTACATCCCCAGGACTCATTTACTTGATAGCTGGAAGTTTGTACCTCTTAGTCCCCTTCACCTCTGGCTGACACTTCTGTGGCCATTCCAGCAGGTTCTATCTCATTTCTCTGGTGGCCTCTTTTTTTTTTTTAAAGATTTTATTTATTTATTTATTTGTCAGAAAGAGAGAGAGGGAGCAGCAGGCTTCCTGCAGAGCAGGGAGCCCGATGCGGGGCTCGATCCCAGGACCCTGGGACCATGACCTGAGCCGAAGGCAGACGCTTAACGACTGAGCCACCCAGGCGTTCCTCTCTGGTGGCCTTTCAATGTGTCTGGAGAAAGAAGGCACTGGTCAAGATGATGACCACTGGAGCACTTGAACTGTCCACTAAAAGTCCTGCCCTGCCTTTGTCTGGCCTTGCTCCAGAATGTGAACCATGCCCATGGATGGCCAGTCTTTTTTTTTAAAAGATTTATTTATTTATTTATTTATTGGAGAGGGAGGGTGGTGGCAGAGGGACAGAATCTTCAAGTAGACTCCCCGCTGAGCTCAGAACCCCACGAGGGGCTCTATCCCACGACCCACGAGATCATGACCTGAGCTGAAATCAACAGTCGGACACTCAACTGACTGAGCCTCCCATGCGCTCCCTCGATGGCCAGTCTTACGTGATGACATGATACCCTCCTGCCCTGCTTCTGGACAGGCCGCCAGCACAGTGACACGAAGTCACCCACACTCTTTCTCAAGCTCTCTTGGGAAGGAGACATTCCGGAGATGGAGGGTGTTCTAGGAGCTGGACAGGGAGGGACTGGGTTCAGTTTGTGGCCATGTCAGGGCAATATTGGCCTGCGTTTGGGAGAGCACCGCACCCCCAGCAAAACCTGTCATATGATTCATTAAAGGTGAGTTAAAAGCTCTTTCCTAAGCACACAGCTCGTATGTCAAAAGGTTATATCATAACCCAAGAACAGAACAGGAAGGGAGCACTTGAGTCCTTGAGGCCAAAGGGTGGGAGAGAGAACGAGACACCTACCAGCTAGCTGTTCTCCATCCTGACTGGCCTTTGAATCAGCTGTGAAGCTTTGAATCCAGATTCCTGGGCCCTAACCTACACGCAGTGACTCAGACTCTTGCCAGAATGCGGCCGGGAAATCAGCAGTCTTTTTAAAAAGTTGCCCAAATCAGTGCACCCACTGTGGAGAACAGTATGGAGGTCCCTCAAAGAATTAAAACTAGAACCACCATATGATCCAGCAATTTCACCTTTGGGTATTTGTCCAAAGGAAAGGAAAACACTAACTTGAAGATATGCACGTCCCCACATTCTCTGCAGCCCTGTTTACAAAGGCCAAGATACGGACACAACCTAAGTGTCCACGGATGTATGGATGGATAAAGAAAAGGTGATTCTATATATGCAACGGAACGTCATGCAGCCATTAAAAAATTCTGCCATTTGTGACAAGATGAACGGACCTTGAGGGCACTATGTAAAGTAGAGTAAGTTGGGCAGGAAGAGACAAATACTGTATTATCTCCTTGATTTGTGGAATCTTTTTTTTTTTAATGTTCAATTAGTCAACACATAGTACATCATTAGATTTTGATGTAGTGTTCAATGATTCATTAGTTGCATGTAACATCCAGTGCTCATCACCACACAGACACATGAAAAAATGTTCAACCATCACTCGGCATCAGGGAAATACAAATCAAAACCACAGTGAGGGTGCCTGGGTGGCTCAGTTGGTTAAGCGACTGCCTTCGGCTCAGGTCATGATCCTGGAGTCCCGGGATCGAGGCCCACATCGGGCTCCCTGCTCAGCAGGGAGTCTGCTTCTCCCTCTGACCCTCTTCCCTCTCGTGCTCTCTCTATCTCTCATTCTCTCTCTCAAATAAATAAATAAAATCTTTAAAAAAAAAACACAGTGCGATACCACCTCACACCAGTCAGAATGGCTAAAATTAACAAGACAGGAAACAACAGATGTTGGCGGGGATGCGGAGAAAGGGGAACCCTCCTACACTGTTGGTGGGAATGCAAGCTGGTGCAGCAGCTCTGGAAAACAGTATGGAGGTTCCTCAAGACGTTAAAAATAGAGCTACCCTATGACCCAGCAATTGCACTACTAGGGATTTACCCCCCAAATACAGACGTAGTGAAAAGAAGGGGCACCTGAACCCCAATGTTCATAGCAGCAATGTCCACAATAGCCGAACTGTGGAATCTTTTGGGAAAAAAAAAAAATGAACTCCCAGATACAGAGAATGGATGGCTGGTTGCTGGAGGCAGGTGCGCTGGGACGGGGGCACGTGAAATGAGTGTGGGGGCAGACTTCCGGTTATAAGATGAATAATTCCTGGGGATCCCATGTACAGCACGGGAAC